CCTTTGTTCGATCTTGCCGAGACCTATAGACCCGGATTAAGATCAGTCTGGAGATCAACCTGCAACGGTGCGAGACCTCCATCGAGACAGCCCCTTCGTATGGGTGAGAGACATGTGTCGCGTTGTCAGAGGCTATTACTCGTCTAGATGTATTTGCCCAATTTTGCTTGCATTTTGTTCTTCGATCACTTCTCAAGCGAATGGCTCTGTAGTCGCCCAGGGCAGAGCCAGTCAATTACGCGGTCATTGCTCGCCTGCTGAGGTGGTCTGGTCATGTGTTGAGTCGACTAGTAGGCGAAATCGTTTTTTTTGTTATCCCTCCCGAACCCGGTCCTGATTGGTGATGACGCCGAAGTGACTAACTAAAAACAAGCGTGGACGTCTTAGGAACCGAACTTAAGCGTAACTCTGGCCCTGCAGTCCCATGGTCTTTCTTCATAGCTCGCTTGGTATTCTACCGTCCATGGACCTCAGTCAAAGACGACGATCAAAGGTGTGATAGTCCTATGCCCGAATCCGCTGTGGTGAATACCCATTAGAAGACATGTATTAGTGTTTACAAGACTACAATTAATGACGTCATTTGCAGTTACCGAAAGTAGCGTCCACGCACTTCTGGTTTGAGGAGAACTGAGACGTTAGACAACTGATGCCCCTGGGTAATGCTTCAGCTTCGTCTCTAATTCGCTGAAGACTGGGCAGATTAAGGCCAAAATTGTTCCCCCAACCGGTGCCGCTTGCAGCATTTTTACAATCCATTGCCTCAAATATCCGCCTGCACCGTGCATCCGTCCGGCCGGTCCTCTACCATTGGGAATGCCATTTGTGTTCGTGCAAGGCGAGCGAAAACGGTGGCTATTTGACCACTACTGCCTGAGAACCAGCCCTCGGTCAAAGTACACCAACTTCGTATCGAACGTGATAGTCCGCGCACGCTGCGACAACATTGAGAGGATACTTCAACCCATCCAAATAAGACAACTGCGATGGTTTGGGCACATCCTTTTTTGTCCGCTTCATAAGCTCAGTGCTGCTGTCTTTGATCCGGAGCCGTTGCTACTTAGAGGGATCGAAGAGGAGGGCAAATCGAAACCTGGCTTGACGCAGTTCGTTAAGACATAAAGGTGGTTCTTGCACCTTCGGTCTGTCGCTGGAGAAGAGAATGAGTTGAGCTGCCCAAATCCGCTGCTGCGGATCGTCACGCGTGGAAGTAGAATCCGCCACCTCATCGAGGTCGGCTGAGTCAGGCATGATCTTGGTTGTGCCAAACACAAGTAAAACTTCGGCTCGTAAACCACGCGTATAGGATGTGAAGCCCCGTTGCTGACTGAATACTTCCTCTGCTGTCGTTACAACAAAAAACCGCTCACTTGCTTGTTTGGTTACGCACAGCGCTAGTTCGGAGGGATGCCACTCCGCGACGCAGTGTCTCTAAGCCCTGTCCGGATTGGCGTCGATAGATTTGGTTAAGCCTTCTTGGAGGACGCGGAAGTTGACTGTCTTCGGTGTTCTAGATTACAACGCCAGCCAGACCACTACCGCAGAACATGGACTACACTGTTCTGTGATGTCTTACAGTGTGGAACCAAACTTACCAAATTAACGCTGAGCTCTTGGGGTGCGAGTTCTTGAAAATGGGCTTAATGCAAGCGCCTCTCTAATCTTCTGGTAGGGTTCTGCCTATGTCTGCGTAAACGGTCAGCTCGTGTTTTAAACAGGATGTGTCCATTTCAGTTTTGCTACCGTCTCAAGGATAAGTCTGGTCGACAATGTTATGTCGTCGCTACCACATTTCCATGTCGCAAAAACGAACAGCCTCAATGCTATCAGCCGCGGTGGTCATTTCAGAGATCTGTAACGAATTTTGTGACATAGCAACTCAGAGAAGCTACTTTGGAGATTGTGCTTCAAATCAAATCAGTTGTCTCCGTAGAAGAGACAACAGAGATGGTTGTCAGTTTGATGAAGCCTTTAAAGGTAGGCAGACGCAAGTCAGCGGTAGTAATAAATTCTTTAAGGCAGTCGATGTATTTCCGTGCAGGTTGTGTCTTCGACAACATGCGGGCTGAGCCGTAGTCGAGTTCTCAGAATATCGTGACCAAAGCCATTCTTCCAGTTCGTGTCAGCAGTCTGATACTAAGCTGGCATAGCGTACTGGAATAGGTATTTCACTGAGATTGCAGAAGTAGTGGTCGTGTCTATTGGTGTAGCACAGCAAAGCTAACAAGCCTGGTAGGTCCATTATTCCTAGTTTTCGCACGCCAATCCCCTGTGATGACGAGATAACGGCGGACACCTGATAACACTTCGAAGTCCTCCACACAAGGACTGCATATATCCAGCATCAAACGTTAGGGCGCAGACCGCAGCAACTACGATTTTGACATTACACCAATACGAACGAATGCAGTCCTCGGTATTATCCCTTCCTTCGCTCAGAGTTATTAGGAAGTGCTGACCAGAGTTGTCTGTCTCATTGTGGTAATAGTGGGAGAATTTCTCAATAGCTCAGTGCCACGCGAATTTCTACTTATTGATCCCACTCCAAAGATTATGGCAACCTCCACATTGCGCGTCACTAGCATTAGCATGGTCTGATTCCTCGCCACTGGAAGAAGAGTTCTGCGATCCAAACGCTCCATACGCAATCCTTTCCCCTTTCAAAGACTTGATTCCGCATGGCTACCATTCAGTCCACTGTTTGAGTCCGGGCGCCTTCGCCGCCACACAGTTTGGACCTTGTCGAAAGCAGCAAGGACGTGTTTGTGGTCGGTGGCAGTGGACCCTATCTATTATCATTTCTAGTAAAACACACGCCTACCGGGATCCAAAAACTACTTTGAGGTCTAGGTGGAGCAAACCTAGCTGTGACACCTACTGCCTCCGCCGCTAGGTGATGCCGGGTCCTGGAACGTAGTTACTAACTACTAGGCACATTGACAGGTGACGGAGGCAGACTGCAACAACACCTCCGTCAGCGTGCACTTTCTTCCATCCATCTTGGTCAATACTATGGTTCATTTGGCACCACTTGTTAAGCATTATTGCCTCAGTTCGATACGGTGCTTTCTTGCTTCAGCTCTACGCATAAAATGGCCAAACGAAAACAGACTCGAAAATTTGCGGTCATGAAGAAAACCCTTTCACTCACCGACTCTAGAATGTGAGTTCCACCAACGCTCCTGACCTTTATTATCTTCCTATTAGTAAAAAAGTAGATAGGAAAAAGCTGAAGGACACCAAGAAGTCTACCTCAAACCATCTGGTCATAAAAAATCGCAGTGAATTGATCTCCTGCCTGAAGGACTCGTACAACGAGGCCCTCGGTCCACCGTATCACATTCTTCTAGACACGAATTACGTGAATTTCACCATAAAAAACCGTCTGGATCTCTTTGGATCTATAATGGACTGTCTCCTTGCAAAGTGTAAGTCAGCTGAGGTCCCTCTAAAGATGCCACTATGTGAACAGGTTTCCTCTATGTGACGGACTGCGTGATGGGTGAAATCGAAAAAATGCCAGAACGTTATCGCGTAGCTCTCAAGTAAGCCTGCAGTCTCCTCTGGTGGAACACCTGCCCTCCTTCCTTTATAGAATCCTTCGTGATCCCCGAATAGAGCGCCTTACCTGCCAACACAAGGGGACATACGCCGACGACTGTCTGGTTGAACGTTGCACCGCACGCTGCTACATTGTCGCGACTTGCGATCGTGATCTGCGCAGACGTATACGCAAAATAACTGGAGTTCCAATCATGTACATACACAACCATCGCGTAACTGTTGAAAAGATGCCAATGGCACTCGGGGCACCAAAAATATAAAATATGCCAGCAGCATCACTTCTTAACCCTTTACCCACAAGGATGAACTTTCTTGGTGGGTTACATTTTATGCGGCAGTTCAAACCTGACTTCAGCGGGTCACCTCAGATTTCGAGAACACAGAACGAGCATGACTCCCCCGGCAATCAGATCGTTGATGAGTCCCGCCCACATGGTTTAGATCGCATGTCACCTGCCGCTCTGTTCATCGAGACATTTTGGCGTTATGCGCTCTCCAGGGTAATACCACTCAGGCCCGCTTCCTAGCAAGGCTGAGGAAATAAAATATTTCCAGGGGTATGGTGTCCGTTAGCTAGGTTACTTCCTGCAATAATGCACCCCCTGTGACCTGAGTGTGTGAATCTCCTTCTCCATCCCGCTTTTTATTCCCTATAGTCCTGACTGCACTAGGAGGTGAGGGACTGTAGTTTTTAGTCGGTTTACTTGACAACAGTTTACTTTTAGGCCGTAACTAGGCAAGCAAATATGGCTCGACCACATAGCAAGGTCGACTGTTGACCGGGGCCAAAATACGGGCCACTGCTACAGGTGCCCATGTTGCTTCGACCATATTGCAATGCGAGGTAGGGGATAGTTATCCTCCATAGATGCACCGTCATGAACAAGGCTTTTCGTCCAAAGAAACTTCAAAAAAGTATTTCGAGAACTTGGGATTCGCAATCGAAACTGTCTGTTGTCGACACTCTTCAAAAGATTATGCTTTTCAAGACAAAGGACAACGTAGACGGAGACACTGCTCAGACACCCGAAAGAAGCCCGCGCCCTAAGGGAGGAGGGCCGGGAGGATGGAACCGCCTTGACAAGCAAGACAGGCTCCGGAAGCGTTAGCATGAAACGGGGGAGGGAGGTAGGGAGGGGGAGAGAACGATTGTATTGTAGACGCAAGTTCTGGGTTTATGTAAAAGGATTTAAACTGGGGTGGTGGTCCGATAGCCTAGTCGCTTTCTCCGGCCACAGGAGACGAAGTAGACGAGAGCGAGCACGAGGAGAGTGCATCCAACAGACACGAGTGCAACTAGCACGAGGTCGACGGTTGTGAAGCCACCGGATCTGAAGGCATGGTCTCCCCTAATAACAGAAAGAGGGGGAGAGAGCTTTACTGCCCACTCCGCGGGTGTTAGTGTTACTGACAAAAATATATGGGGGAAGTAGAGGGGAATATGTAGCGAGACTAGGGACGGTGTAAACAGTGTGAGCTCTCTTGAAAGGTCAGTTTCGATTGGTAAAGCACGTGCGCGCACGAGACTATAGCAATTTTGACAGTAAGAGTCTCGACTACTGGCTACTTTATATTTGAAACTGACGAGCAGGTGCGTATTTCCGACTAGATTTTCTCTGACCACGTTAACGTGTGACGTGGCTGGACCGTGGCTACTGGATTTGTTGGCTGGAAACTCATCCTCGCCTGGGGTTTGAGCCCAGGTAGGACGAGCTAGGGAATAAAGTTGCGATAGACGATGAAGCGATGCCTGTGGCAGCTGATGCCAGGCCGGAGAGGTCGCCTGGCTAAGTGAGACGGCGTGGTTTGGTCGCTGTCAAGAGCTCCTGAGTGGTTGATTATGGTGACAGAGAAAGGGTTGGACGTGGGTTTCACACATTGGTGGCTGCCCGGCATTTGACACTGCGCTGTGTTGTATAGGTGCGGCATGGGCGTCTCGGACTGCCATGCGGCACGCCGTTGAGCTGCATCGTAGGAGTTCTGACATCGTTCCCAAATGACCAACGTCTTGCAGAAGCTGGAAGCCGAGTCGCGTCCGTTCCAGTCGGGGCCCGGAATGCAGTGAAGGGGGGGGGGACATTCATCGACGACATACCCACTGGCCTCTGCTCCAATTTCGCATTTCCCGCTGGGTATCAGTCTCAGAGGTCTAGATGGTACCCACCTGGGCAATTAAAGGGCGCATTCTTCAATCTTGACTGCCTTCTCTCGCCCTGCCCTTTCAGCAGTTCTCTATGCTTTCCGCAGGCCATCGTTGCACATTGTCTTGATTCGGGTGCTCCACTGGATAACCGCTTTGGCAACAGTACATTACCAACTCGTGCCGTGTGACCATACTCTCCTGACTTTGCTTGGTCAGCATTCCGACTGTCAGACGTCTCGTAATGACCTAGCCGCCGGATTGTGGCAAGAACGCCGTCTCACAGTTGTAATTATACAGTTCGAAAATTGGGAATTCAGTTGCGTAGGTGCATACTGGGCTTGGGTGCAGGTTTTCCAGCCTTCGTTAAACAAATTTACAGTTCGTAACAGGACGCCCCGTTAAGATCTGCAAGTTTCCTACCACTTCGCATTTCGCTCCGTGATTAAGCCGGGTCTTTTACCGTCGCTAAGCTGCGGTGATTGGTAGTGATAAAGACTCCAGTACTTCTATCGAACCGTCCACAAAGACTTGTCGGTCTGCACTAATAGTTTCGACTTTTGACATCAGCCAACTTTTTTTTGCTCGGTCGGACTTGGGGCGATAGTTTTGTTCAAGTTAGCATCCTGGAGACGGTTGCTTTTCAAGGGCAATGAGTCCCAGCTTACGTGCCTGGAATTCGAAAGAAAGGAGAATTCCGTCCAGAAGTACGTTTTTTTTCGCAGGGGTCTTAATCAAACCGGTATTCGCATATCCAGAGTGTCGTTAACGGGCTTATAGTTCCTCGGTTATTCCAAGTATCAATGACGTTGGCTGAGGCGGTATACTTTGAGTGAGCCACAACCGTAAAGGTACTGCGAAGAGCAACGCGGTTGTAGTCCGAGTCCGTGGCCGACAGTTTACGGGTAGCGTGGATGTAGCTCTTTAGCTCCTTTTCTATTGCATCGACATGCATATTTAATAATAACTGGTGGCCGTAGACGACTCCGAGGAAGTTTGGTGTGCAATTTAGGGGTAACCCTGACCTTCAGCGGATACTATCGACTGTTTCGGTACTCGGCACAATATCGGAGGCCCGAGGTGGTGTTCCGGAAGGGCTAGTGGAAGTGGTGCGGCTGCGAACCTCTGATCAAACTACCCTCAATAATGTCTCAAATAGCCTTGGTGACATCATCACTCTGTCCGATTTGTAACGACTTTACCCTGAAATGTTTGAAACCATCCATTTCTTTAGGCTGATGGCCAGTGTTCCTGAGGGACGCCCTCTTCTGATCAGAAACGCAGCTTGAAATTCATTTGGCCTTCCCGATACTGATGGATGAACCGAGTGATTCGCTAGCCACGCTAACATGTGCTATCACATTCTGTAGGTCACCGTCAAAAGCGTTTATAGTTCACCCGAAAATTCAGTCTATGGTGCGATTTAATCAGGTTGGAGGCTGAAAACAACCTTGCCGCATGCCAGATTGGATACTGAACAGTCGGGAGAGAATGTCATGGGGGAGAGTCACTGTTGATTGAGGAGCTCCATTTCGTTTCTAGGAAATAAGGGAGATCGCATCTGCCAGGGGAATTAGCGTTTACGGAGAGCGGAATGTTAGTTCACTGGAAAAAACGCAAGTGGTTAGAAGGTGTGAGGGAGTAAAAGCAAGGAGACATTAGTTGCCGCAACACATGGAAGACGGAAGTAGTTAGAGACATTATGACACCGAGGTGACACATAGGATGGACCCGCCATCTTTACTGGCAGCTTTGGGGCGCACTGTCTTCAAGGACGCCGGAATCCTTGGTCCGGGGGATAACTGCATACGGTCATTGAGATATTCAAGACTTGACAAACGTGCGCAGCATCCATACGCCTTTATGGGATCCTCTTGGTGGCCTGCCAGACCTTAGGGCTACACCAGAACTGCGAAAGACAAGGTAGATAGGATGCGGTCAGTTTGTGACTGACTTAAGGTATCTGGTGAAAACCTGTAGTTCCGTGCTCGATAGGTCGTAGGGGTCTTCATCTGCAAAAGTCTACTTAACAGGGTGAGTAGTACATAGGTACTAGGCAACTCAGTTTGCACTACAGAGGTTAGAGCATACTTTCCAGTGCCGGACGTTTGGGTGAGCAGAAGACCTGGACAGGGAAGCATACAGACACCCATGGTTATGCCTACCTGAGTCAAAAGCGAAGCTTAGTTCGTTGCACAGCCAGCAGTCGGACTTATATGGGACATTAAAAGTGGTGTGCCCCGTTAGGAACTCCACACGGGACAAAGCATACTCGCATAACTTCCTTTAGAAGGCAGAAAGTGTGTTGTGAACAATGTGGGCTTTTTTCATAAGCTTCCTTCTGCTTTCAGGAAATACAGTACGGAGCTCCAGCCACAGTTTAAACTCGGTCATGGTACGCGCGTGCCTCTCGGACTTCATATCTGTACACCCGTTTTCTGTTTGCGATTGAGACGATGCGCCTATTCAAAATAGAGGCGTGGGCATTATCGCAGGGCTAGATCCAACTATAACGTAGCCCCTTGGCCCCCACATTTGATTGCAGCCACAAAGTGGACACCGAAAAGGTTTTCCGAACGTTGCTTGGAGTGCTGATCAACCTAGCCGGGCTCCTTTTTCAGCGCATACTTCAAGGGCGGTTTCTGTAAGGTTAGTAACTATGTCTTATTCAGGGTTCTGCAACTGCCATTGCCCCGCCCGTTGACAGCAGATCCTTGACCCTCACTCCGCGACATGTCTCCACCCCAACTCTCCGGCAGACAACCACACTTAATCCATCCTTTTCGTAGTCTGGAACACCTATCCATTTCCCCCTGAAGTAGCACTATGCCCTCCAGGCCACTTTTCATGGGTAGCACAAGGTAGGACGTTGAGACTGAAAGATAGGAAATGGTGTTTGCATAGAATCACGACTAAGTCACTATAGATTATCGGGGTTACAAACGTCCTACTGGAAGTATTTCAGCAGCATCAGCAAAAATTCTAAATACCAATCCATGGCGGAATAGGACACGTCCAGTCCTGTCCACTTCCAGGAGGACGGGCGATAATGGTGCAGTAGGAAAGCAAACAGCTCCTCCTCTCTGTCCGGTACTGCCGAAAAGCGATCCTTCTTCATCC